ATACAAAGTGAATATAGTATGCAGTTTTGATATCTTTGTTCAAAGTTTTCTGACCTCAACCACCAAGTTCAAGACCTGCTAATTTTTCAGATTTCCTTTTTACTCTGAATTGTTTTGTGTTTGTTATTGTTTATATGCAAGAACTCAAGGGAAACAAATCATCTCGGCTCTGCCAGTCATTTATGTGGCAGACAATAAAGAGCATTGTACAAAAACTGTATTATGAAAATGTACTGCAGTTTTATTTTGTTTGTGTGTTTGTTTGTTAACTTTAATTATACACCATAGTATTCCATAGACTGAAATAATGCATGTGCAAAACTTAAACAACAAAAAATGTTAACAGAGACAGTAAAGAGGGAAGTTAGTTGAGAAAAGGTATGTTGCCAGATAAAATCTGAAAAATACATAGAAATTCAGCAAAGCAGAGAGAGAAGGGATGCTGTTCTGCTCAGTAGGAACTGATTAAAATGTATTTTTCATTCTAGCATTAAAATATATTGTAGGAAGAGAATGGAGCTGGATAAGCAAGAAGACAAGTAGATACCTGTAAATAACATAAAGCAGAAGCAACACTGTATTATCTCATTAGATTACCTGCTTCCCCTCCCCCCCCCATTTCCACCCAGCAAACGCATGGTCTTAAAGGATAATTTCTGATGGCACATTTTATATTGTAGTAGCTTTTCTACAGTAGTTCCATAGGCTATTATGATCTATTTTTAGTACGAGTATATGTCCCTAGCGCAGACTGCAAATCGACAAAGTAACTTATACTGGCAAATTTAGAAAGTAGACCAAGGAACCCCAAGGAATTCTTCAAGAATAAATAGTTTCTGAAATGAATGCATACTCCCTTGGCTTCTGGTGTCCTTAAAAGCTTCTCTTTAAGCCCAGTGGTTTAAGATATAAAACAAGAAATAGTTTGCCATGTTATCTGCCATCTGAGTTTAAAAGGATTTTATGAAAGTATCTGATGTATTCAAAACTATTAACATATCATAGTGTATTTTAATCACAGGTGTTCATTCACCTTAAACTCCACTCTTCTTTTTACACACATGATCGTCCTTGAAAATAAACACATAGCAATAGTATGAGTATATGTGAGAAAACCAGCAAATCATTATACGTAACAGCAGCTTAACAATGTTGATAACAATGGATATAACAATTTAAGTTTTCCTATATTGTGCATGTGTGTTTTACATACACGTGAATACATTTTCAGTGACACTCAAGAATTTGTGTGGGCAATTATTGTGTGATATCCAAACAACACTGGCGGAAGACTAAAAAGCAGAAGGTGAACATAGCTGGAAATAATTGTGGGAAAACATTTCTTAGAGTGCATCTACATTGCAGAATTAATGCATTTTGACAACAGTTTAACTGCCATAGCTCAATGCTATGAAATAATAAGAGTTGTAGTTTTACAAGGTATTAAGCTTCCTCTGCTAAATAGTGCTGGTGACTAGTCTTGTGTGTTTCAGCTGAACCTCGATACGTTTCTGCTGGATAGATTCCAGTAGACCCCCATATTTATTTTCGCTTGCCTCCTCAAAATAGGCAGGTAGCCAAATAGCCATTTTCAGTCTGCAGCCAAAAAATACGGCTAGATCCGGCCCACTGACGGGAATGGGGAACTTAAGAGGCTCTCCTTTCAATTTCCGGGACCCTTTCCTTTTTCCCTTCAAGGGATCCTGGAGTCCAGCAACTGGGTTAAGGAAGCATCCTTCCTGGTAACATTTCCTTCTTTCCCTTCAATGGAGCCTGGGTTTCAGCAACAGATTTAAGGAAACAGACATAGCTTGCATAAAACACTGAATAGTCAAGGAGCAACCGTGATCAGCTGCCACATGCTCCCATAATGGATGAAAAATGTGATGGCTAATCCCTTGTCATTACGGTCATCTGATCAAGCCAAACAAGCTGGAAACTGACCCCTCTGAATCATGCACATGTCTACTGGTGACTAACAACACCCATGCTTCTATAGCACGGAACCATGGCAATTAATGTGGTGCCAAACTGCATTACTTCTATAATGTAGATGTACTCTTAGATTACCTTTTCATATTTAACCCATGACCTTCTATGTCTGGATGTGTGCAATGTTTTTTTAAAAAAATTAAAGCACTTTGAATGTATCAAGTGTTTTCTATCTGTAATAGACTTTTAGCAAATGACTTTGGGATCATTTTCTAGTTAAAGCATCCTCCTTCACAATCATTCTCGTGGACAGAGGGGATGAATGGTCAGGTGCTCAGAAATGATCAATTTATAAATTTGAAACATTTTTCAGAATACCATTGGGGCTGCTTGATTTATCTAGAATAAGTGACAAAATATTTCAAAGGTCTCACAGAATCAATTAAATAGTTCTTACATTTACTTTTAAGTAAAGTCAGTCCTCTTTATCCAAGATTCAACCATCCCCGATTTGAAAATGCCCTACCCAAAAAAGGATTTTAAAAAGCAAAGCTTTAACAAAAGGAATACAATTTTACTATTTCATTATATATAATAGGACTTGAGCACCCACAATTTTGGGATCCAAGGAAGTGAGGTAGGCAGTGTCCTGGAACCAAATCCTAGTGGGTACTATGGACCCACTGTATGTATATTTAACTGAAACTTCAGAAAGCGTTCCTACATGCCCACTACATGCCCTTCATGGGAATTTGCAGCATCAATGTAACTGCCTCTCTGTAATCACATTTTTGTGATAATTTGATTTTAACAGTTATATTAATCATCACTCCTAATATTATATCATTTTTTTAACTTGGTCTCTCTTTTTATCAGTGAACCTATATCTGAGATTGTTATCTTCACAGCAGCTGTCCTGCATGAATAATTGTAACAGACAGTTTTCCAAACTTCATGTTTTTCAGCATTCACATTAACCTCTGCATCTGTTTTTTTAAAAAAAATACATGAAAGTTTGTTCATGTTCTCATGTATGCATTTTTAGTCTGACAACTGCACCACAAAAATTGGAGAAATGCAAATGCTGAATAATAAATATATTTGCATTTACACAGTATGGTTAGGGTAATCAGAGCTTTAGGATTTCAGAATCTTAACTTTACAGTGGAGCCAGATGGATCTAATTACCTCTCAGTGTCTGAGAAATCCCAACTGTGGTGATAGCATATATGAGCAGACTCCTGATGGAACAAAACTTCTTCATGGTTTATTCAGTTTATTTGTGGACATGAACACTGATCACATATAAAGAAGGAAATGCCTTGACTCCAGTTGAAACCTTTTTTTCTTTTTTCCATTGAGAAAAAAACAGACTACTAGGGGAAAATGTCTTCATTTCAATTTTCTGTCTCTGCATTCATGGCTGAGAAACTGCCGGCAATCCTGCCCATGTTTGAAAAAGGATCTGCACCTGAGCACCACTGTGGGGGTCCACCAGGAAGCAAATCTGACCCTCTGTCTGAGGACACATCTGTAATAATAATCTGTACTGACTATTAATCCCGAAATAAAACTGAATCAGTTCCATGGTACCTAAACAACACATGGAGCCAATTTTGGTTAATGTTAGTGAAGACCACCTTAACACAGTCTTAATCCACATTAACCAAAGTCATGACAGTAGGAAAAAAGCAAGACCATAGTCCAGATGGATATAATCAACCATGGAGCCAAAAACCAGAGTCTACAAGATCTGAAAAAGTCTGTTAAAGACAGGATAACTTGAAGAGGTTAATCATTGATAGGGTTGCTATAAGTCAAAGTTGACTTGAAGGCAGTTAAGGATATGCCACTAAATTTGTAGGTGAGACAAATTGAGACTTCTTGGATTTTTTTCCATTTTAACATATGTTTGTATTATTTAGAGCAGGGATCCTGAAACTAAGGCCCGGGGGCTGGATATAGCCCTCCAAGGTCATTTACCCAGCCCTTGCTCAGGGTCTGAAATGAGTTGAAAGAACACAACAAAAACAAAAATCCTATCTCATCAGCAAAAAGCAGGCCCACACTTCCCAATGAAATGCTAATAAGTTTATATTTGTTAAATTGTTTTTCATTTTAATTATTGTATTGTTTTTAAGTGTTTATCGATTGCACAACATTTTGGGGCTTTAATGAATTGAGAAGTTATAAACAAAAATTCTAAATAAATAAAACAATATAAATATAAATAACCCATACAATCCCCTGTGCACAGGGTTGAATACTTGCATATCACAAATCCTCTACTTGCTTTTCCAGCTAATAATACATGGCCTGCAAATGTTTTCACCTGCACAATGCCACAAAATTTTATGTTGGATTTGCATTTTAGAATGTTAGACTGGCAGAAATGTCTAGAATAAAGATGCCTGACCTCATTGCTATACAATTCCCATTGGTTATTATTATCCCTTAGCTGAGAGAAAGAAAACTAAGCCCTTTTGAGACACCCATTACCTGTGTGGTATGAAAATGTAGAGAGAGCCTTTATGCATAAAATTGTACCCATGGGTGATCTATCCTGATTTTGAAATTAGAGTAGGGAGGTACAGGCAGTGCCACTGTTCCCATGCGTCTTTATTCTGCCTACTATATTTTGTATTGATGGAAGAAATCTTACTACTCATTGTCCCCAATTGATGCCATATATATTAAAAGATAATTAAACAAATAAGTATTTTACTCTTGAAAAAAGAGAAGCATAATTATAATATTGAGGGTGCTGTTGGGGGCATGCTTCATTACCCTTATTCTTTTTGAAATACTTTTGCATTTTATCAATATTAAAATGTCATTCATAAAATATTATATCAGGGCTTTTTCTGGAGATGTGTGATATAACAATAAACTTGGAAGTAGAGTGCAACATCATCTGTTGAAATGTGTCAGTTAAACAGATGGCATGACCACTGCTATTTTTTCCCCCAAAGTATCTTTAGTTCTTTTTGTTCTTTTCCACAAATCTCTGGTTGAAAAAGCAAGCAGTTACTAAGCATATTTTCCTTTTTTCTTCTTCTACTATATAGATTTGCGATAAAGAATGGCACTACTATATCGTCAACATTGAGTTTCCAGTAGTTACCTTGTATATGGATGGTACAACATATGAACCTTACCTTGTAACTAATGACTGGCCTATTCATCCATCGCACATAGCAATGCAACTGACTGTTGGTGCTTGTTGGCAAGGTAAATACACACTTTGAGCAGATTGAGATTTAAGCCTATTGAATGTATGTTCAAAGACCAGTAATCTCAATGACGAGCAAGCTGTCTATTATGCTTGTCAGATGTATTTCAATATACTGATCTTAATTACACCCTTGATCATTACCTCAAACCTGATGAAGATCTCACTTGGGGAGGATGATCATTTCTTGAGATATGGTGGTATATTCTGGAATTCTAAAATGTTATAGTTACCTTGGATCTTTGGTAACCAGATTCTACCTGTTTATTATTAGTAAGAATGCTAACCAGAAGAAGTAGTTTAATCTAGATCCCTATCACTGTTAAAAACCATGAAGTCAGTCTCTAAGTTGACTCAGATAAACAGTAATATCACATCTTGCATTTTCAATCTTCTATACCTTGATGTTCTTTTCAGGCGAAGCACCTTATTCTGATGGATCAGTTATTTATTTATTTGTTTGTTTGTTTTAAGGTGAGCATGTATGCTATTTTGCAGAGAGCAGACGTCTGAAAATATATTTTGTTTTTAAGAGTCATCAAGTTCAAGAATCATTAAAAAAAGACATAGCCACTTTCATTCACATTGATTTTAAGCAACTGGCTGGTTTTTGTCAAGGAGGCTTTCAACAAATGAGTGCTATACTATTTTAATCCATACACCTTTATATTATTTTTACGCATGTTTTAAACATAGAATTTTACTTTCACATTTTAGTATTTATTTTAATGCTACTGTAGGTTTTTTTTAAAAAAAATATCTTTTTCCATGCCACATTATTTTATATGCTTGTCATTCCATAGCTGATCTGGTATAATCCTATCTTTCATCAGTCTTTAAATTATTATTATTATTATTATTATTATTATTATTATTATTATTGGGACCATACAATGCCCCTATTAAAACAGCTTCATTGGCTGCCAATAAGTTGCCGAGCCAAATTCAAGGTGCAGCTTATGACCTATAAAGCCGTAAATGATTCAGGCCCTGCCAGTCTTAGTGATCTCATCTCCCTCTACGAACCAGTGCAAACTCCAAGATCCGCTGGGGAGGCCCTCCCACCACCATCATCAGCATGGTTGGTGGAGACAAGGGAGAGGGCCTTCTCAGTTGTGGTCCCCCACTTTATGAACGTCCTTCCTAGGGAAATAAGACAAGCTTGAAGTCTTGGTGGTTTCACTAGGTCTTTGAGAACGAGTAATACGAGCGCCAGCCCCTGGCCGCTAGTTAGAATCTAGCCCTTCACCCCCACCTATTACCCCTGTCAGTTCCCCAAATAGGCTCAGGAAATGAACAGCTAGAGGCCCCATTATCACTACTGTTGAGTTTGTTATACACTTTACCTATTCCCCTGCCCCCCTATGGCTTACCTTGCACTAGCCCTGACCTGGCTATCCCAAATTGCCCAGATCCTTTTGAAATCTAGGCCTTAGCAGTTAATCCTGACACAAAGAATAAGGTGGGATTGGTTTGACTATATATGTGTTGTGTTGATAATTTTGTTTTCTGCTTACTTTGTATGTTCTTGTGTTTTTACAATTTTGAAACCACCCTGAGTCCCCTTGGGGAGATAGAGCAGTATATAAATAAAGTTTTATTATTTATTTTAATATTATTATTGTATTTATCTATGGTAATAGAATCAACATAGAGAAGAATAAATTTGAAGGTACACAATAACAACAGCAAGAGTAAAGAGTCTAAGATACCAGAAAGGCTTTGCTGAATGGAAGTAATGACTTTTGAGCTATGGTGAACTGAAGTGTAACTTTTTGATATTAAGATCTCATGCAACAGTGACAAGAGGTGTGTGTACACACACACAAATAAGACTGTGAGAGATAAGCTATGAATTTGAGACTTTATATCTTTTAGACTTTACCTCTTTTATCTCTTCTTCATATTGTGATGAAGTCTGAAGAAAAAGATAGATTATCAAATCATAGATCTTGGTTACATTTGTTACTGTTCTTGCTCATAATAAACTCAAAATAGCAACAAGGATAAACAGAACATCCTTGGACCATATTAAAATCCTATCTAGTCCATAATTATGTTTAGACAGTTACCTATGAATAGCTTACAGGCATGAATACAATGATATCCCTACCGTCCCCAGCAATCAGTATAGAGAAATATATTATGGAGAGAACATGTGTGCAGTGGTCAGCATTTTGGATCAAAGAGAAAGAAAGAGAGGTCAGACCAAGCGTGATCCCTGGGGAAGGCAATGGCAAACCACTCCAGTATCCTTGCCAAGAAAACTAAATGGACCAGTACAACCAGAGATATGTCGGTATGCCATTGGAAGATGGGACTCCCAGGTTGGAAGATGGTCAAAATGTTACTGGGGAGGATCAGAGTATAAGTTCATTAGGCCCTGATGAAATGACACAGCTAGCTCAAAGCCAAAAGGAAGGCTAGCAGCCGACAGTGGTGGAGGTGAATGATGAATCCGATATTCTAAAGATCAACACACCATAGGAACCTGGAATGTAAGATCTAGGAGCCAGGGCAAATTGGATGTTGTTATTGGTGAGATGTCAAGACTAAAGATAGACATTCTGGGGGTCAGCGAACTGAAATGGACTGGAATGGGCCACTTCACATCAGATGACCACCAGATCTACTACTGCGGACAAGAGGAACATCAAAGAAATGGAGTAGCCTTCATAATTAATAAGAAATTAGCTAAAGCGGTGCTTGGATACAACCCAAAAAATGACAGAATGATCTCAATTCGAGTGCAAGGAAAGCCTTTCAACATTACAGTGACAAATATACGCCCCAACCACAGCTGCTGAAGAAGCAGAAGTAGATCAGTTCTATGAGGATCTGCAGGACCTACTGGATAATACACCAAAAAGAGACATTATTTTCATTACAGGAGACTGGAATGCCAAGGTGGAAAGTCAAATGACAACTGGGATCACAGGCAAGCATGGTCTGGGAGAACAAAATGAAGCGGGACGCAGGCTGATAGAATTTTGCCAGGAAAACTCGCTGTGTATAACGAATACTCTCTTCCAACAACTTAAAAGACGGCTTTACACATGGACCTCACCAGACGGTCAACACCGAAATCAGATTGACTACATCCTTTGCAGCCAAAGGTGGCGGACATCCATCCAGTCAGTGAAAACAAGACCTGGGGCTGACTGTAGCTCAGATCACGAACTTCTTATTGCTCAGCTTAGAATAAAACTAAAGAGAGTCAGGGAAAATACACAGACCAGTTAGATATGATCTCACTAACATTCCTAGCGAATATACAGTGGAAGTGAAGAACAGATTTGAGGACTAGATTTAGTAAACAGAGTCCCAGAAGAACTATGGACAGAAGTCCGAGACATTGTTCAGGAGGCGGCAACAAAGTACGTCCCAAAGAAAAAGAAAACCAAGAAGGCAAAATGGTTGTCTGCTGAGACACTGGAAGTAGCCCAAGAAAGGAGGAAAGCAAAAGGAAACAGGGATAAGGGAGATATGCCCAGTTAAATGCGCAATTCCAGAGGTTAGCCAGAAGAGATAAGGAACTATTTTTAAATAAGCAATGCATGGAAGTGGAAGAAGACAACAGAATAGGAAGGACAAGAGACCTCTTCCAGAAAATTAGAAACATTGGAGGTAAATTTCAGGCAAAAATTGGTAGGATAAGAAACAAAGATGGCAGGGACCTAACAGAAGCTGAAGAGATCAAGAGAAGGTGGCGAGACTATACAGAAGATCTGTATAGGAAGGATAATAATATTGAGGATAGTTTTGACAGGGTGGTGAATGAATTAGAACCAGACATCCTGAGGAGTGAGGTTGAATGGGCCTTAAGAAGCATTGCTAACAACAAGGCAGCAGGAGATGACGGGATCCCAGCTGAACTGTTTAAAATCTTGAAAGATGATGCTGTCAAGGTGATGCATGCCATATGCCAGCAAATATGGAAAACACAAGAATGGCCATCAGACTGGAAAAAATCAACTTATATCCCCATACCAAAAAAGGGAAATGCTAAAGACTGCTTAAACTTTCGTACAGTGGCCCTTATGTAAATGGAAAAAATGCTCAAGATCCTGCAAGGAAGACTCCAGCAATACATGGAGCGAGAGTTGCCAGATGTACAAGCTGGGTTTAGAAAAGGCAGAGGAACAAGAGACCAAATTGCCAATATCCGCTGGATAATGGAGAAAGGCAGGGAGTTTCAGAAAAACATCTACTTCTGCTTAATTGACTATTCTAAAGCCTTTGACTGTGTGGATCATAATACATTGTGGCAAGTTCTTGGTGGGATGGGCATCCCAAGCCACCTTGTCTCTCTCCTGAGGAATCTGTACAAGGACCAAGTAGCAACAGTAAGAACTGACCACGGAACAACAGACTGGTTCAAGATTGGGAAAGGCGTACGGCAAGGCTGCATCTTCTCACCCAACCTTTTTAACTTGTATGCAGAACACATCATGCGATGTGCGGGGCTGGATGAATGCAAAGCTGGGGTGAAAATTGCTGGAAGAAACATTAACAACCTCAGATATGCAGATGACACCACTCTGATGGCCGAAAGCGAGGAGGAGCTGAGGAGCCTTATAATCAAGGTGAAAGAAGAAAGCGCAAAAGCCGGGTTGCAGCTAAACGTCAAAAAAACCAAGATTATGGCAACAAGAATGATTGACAACTGGAAAATAGAGGGAGAAACCGTGGAGGCCGTGACAGACTTTGTATTTTTAGGTGCAAAGATTACTGCAGATGCAGACTGTAGCCAGGAAATCAGAAGACGCTTACTTCTTGGGAGGAGAGCAATGTCCAGTCTCGATAAAATAGTGAAGAGTAGAGACATCAGACTGACAACAAAGATCCGCCTAGTCAAAGCCATGGTATTTCCTGTAGTAACCTACGGATGTGAGAGCTGGACCTTAGGGAAGGCTGAGCGAAGGAAGATCGATGCTTTTGAACTGTGGTGTTGGAGGAAAGTTCTGAGAGTGCCTTGGACTGCGAGAAGATCCAACCA